GGAGAAGATCGTGAGGTGGCAGTGCCGGGACCGCCTAAGATGGGGCCCTGGGCTGTTACAAGTCGCACTATGCTAAGGGACCAAACTCGTGCAAATTGAAAATTTAGGAACTAAAAGCTCGCCTTAAACGATTTCTAAAAATTATCCCTAAACATTTTTCCTCAATTGGATTTTTCATCCTATCCTCTTAAAAATATTCTAAGGCCGGGTCCTAGCTCACGTCGATATATGAAGTTCCCGTTTAAATTACAACGGGATTTAGAGTTCGTAAAATTTTGAACAGCGGGTAAACTTTTGCCCATTTTCTTAAAAACTATAAGAAAGTGAAATTTGAAATTCCAAAGACACAGGAATGTCCTCATTCACACACAAAGACTAAGAAACCAAAGTCTGGGCTACTCTAGTACTCGAGCACGAAACAGGCACGATCTCAGCAAACTATGTCGTTATAACGACGATACTCTTGTTAACAACTTACAAACCCTAATTATCTTCACCCCTACTCACGGGTCTCACTCTAGGCAATGCTATCAGCATTCTTTAACTCAACAAACTAGCCCCGGAAATGGAATCTACGCGAAAAACTAAGCAAAATAGGTTCCGGTGTAAAAATCGTCAAAAGTCAACAAAAGTCAACCCTGAGATCTACTTTGAAACCTTGTGGTTGTTCAACATATACTTCCTCCTCAAGTTTGCCATTGTCAAATGCAGACTTGACATTTTGTTGAACACTCTGCCAATTCACTTGGTTTGCTATTACCACCACAGGTCTTACTGTTTCCAATCTTGCAACTGGTGCCAAGATTTCCAATTGAAATTCTGGCACACTGTGGACAGATGTTCCACACGATGTTCCAACATCTGTCTCAACACCTGATTGACAGAACATTTTATTGAAATCAATGCCAGAATTTTGTGAGAGTCCTCTGGCCACAGGTTTTGCCCTGTGTTTTGCAATTGAGCCATCAGGTAAGTGCTTCACTTCATATACTTGTTTCACTGCTATCGGCTTCCTTTTAGTAGGTAGTGACATTAACTTCCATGCATTATTCTTTTCAATGGATTGAATCTCATCTTCCATTGCTTTCCTCCATACATGTGACTTTGATGCTCTTTCTGCTCTTCTAACTTGAGCTTCATCATGTGCTAATGTTGGTTGAATTGTTGCAGTAGAATGATGTTGGTTCAATTTTCTGGCTTGCTTGCCAACCAAGCAATTTCTTCCCTTTTCCTTTGGAGTTCTAAATTCTGGTAATCCACTGACCATCTCATTCTTTTTCAAACTATTAAGCTTTTAAAATTGAGATTTCCATACCTCAGATGCCATAGTGAAGCTGCTTCATGGATTACTTCACTAGCAAGGCATTGTGAATTTGAACTCTGAAATTTGACTTGGAATGTTCTGCTTTGTGATAATGGTGCACACAGTACCAACCTATTTTCCACATTGTACACTTTCATTTGATTGTTCCCTACAGTCATTGTGAAACTTTTCTCAACCAATTGTCCAATGCTGAGGAGATTTGTTTGCACATTTGGCACATACATTACACCAGTAATCAATGCTTGATTACCATTCTTTCCCTTGATTAACA